TATTACTTATATGGTCTCTTGGTCAAATCATGGGAAAGTCCCTAGCTATATAAGTTTTTGGCTACTGCTGATTGATTGAAATCAAGTTCTGTTTTTATTTACTACAGATATTTATAGGAAATAGTTTGAGTTAAGTTTTGCATATGTTTGCAAATCAAGCAAGGTTGAGGTCATTTACCAGGCCTCAGTGGTTTTGTCTGGTCAGGGATTCTTCAGACCTAGTCTCCACTTTAATCTAACATGTATCTAACTTGAAAATTATGTCTGAGAATGTACTCATTCGAATAATTATTTCTGCAATTCCCACACCTTTATTTATCTTGCTTTCACTTCTTCTCTTTAAGGGATGAATTTCCAGACACATCGAAATTATGTAGGGAAAAAAATTGGGCTAATAAGATGTGCTAACCCTCCTAGGTGCATAATGTAAATGCTTCTCCGGGAGTCCATCAACAAAGGACATAGGTGAGGAAGAAAGATAGCTCTTTCTCCAAATTTGTTGGTTGCTAAGGACAGCCCCAGATCACAACTCCTAGAGTAACAGAAAACCACAGGAACTTTATACACGGTTACACAGTGGCATATTATTCAGCCTCAAGAAGGAAGGAAGCCCAGCATGGTAGTGCACACCTGTAATCCCAGCAGTTGGGGGGCTGAGGCAGGAGGATCACCGAGTTCAAGGCCAACCTGGACTACGTAGTGAGACCCTATCTCAAAAAAAAAAAAAAAAGGTGGGGGAAGTATGGCTCAGTAGTGAGTATGTTGAGCACTTTCAAGCCCCTGGGTTCAGTCCCTTGCATGTGTACAAACACATGCACTCACACATACACAAAAGGAAGGAAAGAAGGAAATTCTGACACATGGTACAGTATGAATGAAATCTGAGGACATTATGCAAAGTGAAATAAGCCAGCCAGAAAGGACAAACACTACATGATTCTATTCACATGAAGTACTTTACAGTAGTCCATTCATAGCGACAGAAAGTGAAGTGGTGGATGCCAAGGGCTGGGGGCTTTTTGCTTAATGGGTATAGAGTTTTAGTTTTATAACATGAAAAGAGGTCTGGAGATGGATGTGCACTCAGAAATGGTCAAGATAGTACATTTTATGTGTATTTTACCACAATAAAAATAATGGGGGGTAGGGCTGAGGATTGACCTCAGTGGCAGGTCCAAGGTCCTGAGTTCGATCCCTGGTACCAAAAGTAATAATAATAATAATAATAATAATAATAATAATAGGGGGTCCCTTCCTGAGGACTGCTAAGGAGCAATCCAGCGAGGTGCCAGGGGCTGATACATGAATGAGATGGCTTCTCATTTTAATAATTGCCAGGGGGAACACTGCTCTCCAAGCTTCTGTCTCCCTCTTTTGAGAGGATCACTCAGTCCTCTGCCTTAAACGACCCAAATTTCACTCTCTCTTTTTTTGGTACCGGGGACCTTGCGCTTGCGAGGTAGGCGGCAGAACCACTGAGCTAAATCCCCAGCCCAACTCTTTTTTCTTTTGTCAGAAACCAGGCAAAGGGTTGGGAATTTCCTAAAAAATCTAAATCAGTTATTGCTCTCACATCATGCCTGAGTGATTAACATATAGCCAAAGTGTTTTAACTTATTTTTATGACAGTCATGTCAGATGGGCATATTAGTACACTTTTACAAATGAGAAAACTGAAGCATACAAAAGTTAAAGAATTTCCCCAAGAGTACACAGCTAATAAGCTGCAGAACCAGTTTTCAACCCAGGTGTTCTGGCAAATCACCAAAGTGGCCTGTTCCTGAAAGCCCAGATCCTGAAATCTGAAATCTTTAGTCTTCATTTAATCTGATTGGGTAAACGGAGTGAAACAGGTTTCTTTCCTGTGGGAATTTTCAGATGTTTAATTTCCTAATGTGCATTTAGGCTCTTTAAGACTGTGGGAGGGATATAATTAACATGCATCATTTCTTTTCTTTTTTTTTTTTTCCGTCCTGGGGATTGAACTCAGGACCTCGTGCTTGCAAAGCAGGCACAGTGCCACTGAGCTAAATCCCTGGCCCTGACATGCATCATTTCTTTGACTCGTTTAGTCATTGGATTTATTTTTCATGGAACATCTTAAGAAACTTGGCCTAAATTTTGTCAAACTCTGCATGCAATATTCAGTGTTACTTTTATCTGCCTTTCAAAACTACTTTAAGGAAATAATTATTTTTCCTCATTTAGAAAATTGTAAAAAATTGAGTTACTAAGAAACTTAATGATTTGTCCAAGAAATAATCAGTTATATTGGAGGTGGAACTAGAATTCTAAGTCTTTGCATTGAGCTATATCCCAGGCCTTTTTCTTTTCTTTTCTTTTCTTTTTTTTTTTTTCGGTACCAGGGATAGAACTCAGGACCTTGTACTTGCAAGGCAGGTGCAGCTCCACTGAGCTAAATCCCTAGCCCAAGGCCTTTTTCATTTTCATTTTTAATTTTGAGACAGGGTCTTGCTAAGTCACTAAGTTCCTCAGTCAGGGCTCTCTATTGTGATCCTCCTGCCTCACCCTTCCAGAGTGCTGGGATTACAGGTGTGTATCACCTCACCTGGATGACAAAGAAGAGTTTTTATCCTGAGTAGGCATATCCCAAATTAAAATTTTTGTTATTGTGGAAATAGAAAGGGAAAATTTCAGGGACTTTCTTTGCTACTAAGCTCTTGCATTTCATTATTGTTGTTGTTGTTGGTGGTGGTGGTAGTGGTGGTTTGTTTTTTTAAGATGAAATCTTATATATCCAGGCTGGCCTGGAACCTGCAATCCTCCTACCTCAGCTTCCCAAGTAGCTGGAACTTACTGTAGAAACTTTTGAGTTGTGAACTTTCACAGGTGTACTTTGTAAGACTTGTTGCCTTACCGATGAATCCAACTTATGAATAATTTCTCTTTATTTTTGGTACCGGAGATCAAACTTGGGACCTGTGCTTGTGAGGCAGGCGGCGGAACCACTGAGCTAAATCCTTGGCCCCTATGAACAATTTCTTGTCTTATATCATTTACATTTCAATTTTTCCTTTTAAGGTATCATTGCTGGAGTCCTTAGTTGCAAGCAATATAAACTTACTGGCTAATTAAGCAGAAAAGTAACTTTTAAAGGACAAAATAGCTGATACAGTTTTGCAAGGCAGGAGAACTAGACTTGGATTTTAAATTTTTCTTGATGATCCAGAACTGGTCCCCTGTACTGCCATTGCCTCTGGGTACAACCATGTACCTTTTTTTTTTGGTACCAGGGATCGAACTCAGGCTCTTGCTCTTGCAAGGCAGGCACCAGAACCACTGAGCTAAATCCCCAGCCCTCAACCATGTGTCTTACAGGCATGATGGACTGGTGCCACCCTGGCTGGCTTCACAGACACATGACCTGCGCATCACAGGGGCCCTTCTTGTGGAAGACCAGCACTCTTAATCCCCTGAAGGAACAAGGAGCCCTACATTTTTTTTTTTTAACATTGGGGCCCACAGATTATGTGGTAGGTCCTGCAATGTGGTCATTGGCTGCTGCTGCAAGAGCCACTGTCACTACTGTCACTGGGAAGTCAGGTTTTGACACAGCAAGGAACCCGCCCCTCACTTCCTTGGTCCTCACTTCTTTGTGCCCTCAGTGAAAGATTTCAGTCAAGACACATAGGTAGCTGTGCAGAAGTCTAGGTAGACTTTATTGTAAAGTACATACAGAGAGAGTTATGCTCTATCTGCACTGGTGCAAGCCTGGATACATTTTTATACATACAGAAGTTGTTCCTTGGGCTCAGAGAACTAGGATACCTAGGATGCTTATCAACATTTGACTTAGAAGTTACTTTAGAATTACAAAATGTCTTCCTGTCCTTTTTAGATAGCCAGTGTTTCCTCAGGGCCTTTAATCATGTAAGGAATTGATGAAAGAGAATTTGAGAAAGTTAAGTTCTTTATTTTGGTACCGGTGATTGAACTCAGGACCTTGCACATGCAAGGCAGGCATAGCACCACTGAGCCAAATCCCAGCCTAAAGTTCTTCATTTAAACCAAGTCCCATGGCAAGAGGGTCTTAAAGACCTTCGCTGATTATCACTGGGCTGTGAGCTGTGGCAGCCAGGAGTGCTGGGTGCTTTGTTCCGAAGTTAGGTGGCCAATAGGCCAGGTATCAGAAGGACCAGGCACAATGTGTCCCCTGAAGATATTACTGTCCTCTGCAGGATCGCTTTGGGTCCGAGACCTAACAAATGATTATAAAAATGTTATACTTTGATGCCTTTCTTTACTTAACTGGCAATGCATGCTGTTTTGGGGCCTCCTTTGTCCCTCAGGCCCAGTAGCACCTGACTACCTACCTGTGATCTCTGGAAACTGGGTGAAGCTGCCCCTGCTGCTGTAACCTCACCAAAGAGATTCAGTGTCTTTGCTGCTGCTGCTGCTGCTGCTGCTGCTGGTGCTCACCTGTTTCCAGCTCAAGATGTGGGACTCATGCATCCAATGTGCAGTGTGTACAGCTACAACAGAAGCTAGAAAAGCAAGGGTCTGGGACTTGGGGGTAGGAGAAAAGCTGTCTTTTATCAGGTGGAGGGAGAGCCTCCAAACATAGGGAATAGGTTCAGAGACTTGATGGTCAAAAATAATCTATTTTATTGAGGATTACTCAATTGAGGAATATATAGAGATTTACCTCATTCTTTTAAATAATATGCCAGAGTAGAGATATACTATAATTTGTAGACATTCATATTTCATCTTCTTGTCACTGAAACTTTATAATAAACATCTTTGTATATTTGGCCTTATACAGTGATCACTGTACTTCAGTAGGCTAAATTCTTAAAAGTGTAGTTGCTGGGCAGAAGCGAGTGTGTATTAGTGAGTTTTCCGTCTCTAAATATATACTTATATATAATTACTTATATATTACTTATTATATATGACTTATTATTATATAATTATTTATATAAGTATAATTATATAAGTATATTCAAGTAATCAGCTTGAAAAGAAAAAAGGCTTACTTTGGTTCACGGTTTTAGAGGTGTTGGTCCCCGATCGGTCAGTCTTCTTCAGGTCTATGGCAGGATGTGGCACACCAAAGCTGCTCATGTCCTGGCTGCAAGGCAAAGGAGGGAGGGTAGGCCACTGTGCCCTTCAAGGGCCAACTGCAGTGACCAGAAGACATTCCGAGAGGTCCTGCCTCTCAAAGGTTTCCCCACTTCCCAGCAGCGCCAAGCCAGGGCACCAAACCTTTAACACAGGGGCCTTTGGGGGACACCTGCCCACACCACAGCAGTGCATTTGTACCTTGGGTAGGTATTGCCAGATTACTTTTTAAAATTATAGTAATTTATACTCTAGCAAAACACAAATGTGCTGCTTCTTTCAGTTTCTGAATATTATCGCTTTTTATCAATCTGATGGATGAAAAATGATATCTCATTATTTTTAAATTTCAACTTTCTCAATGATTAACACATCTCATATGATTATTGGCTACAAGAAAAATTCCCTTTTATGACTTACCTGTTCATATCTTTGGCTCTTTTTTTTGTTTTTTTGGAGACAGGGTCTCATTATGTAGCCCAAGTTGGCCTGGAACTCACAGTGATCCTCCTGCATCAGCTTTCTGGGTTTTGGAATTATAGGCATGTGCCACCACACCCATCTCTGTTCTTTCTTTCTTCTTTCTGTCTTTCTTTCTTTCTCTCTTTCTTTCTTTTCCTTCTTTCCTTCCCTCCCTTTCTTTCCTTCCTTCCTTTCTTTCTCTTCCTTTCTTTCAATTTGTAGTCACTCTTGGTATGTTTGAGATACTCTTTATTAGTCATATGTTTTGAAATTATTTCTTTGAGAATTTTTCTTGTTTTTTTTGTACCTGGGATGGAACTCAGGACCTTGTGCTTGCGAGGCAAGCAGTGGAACCACTGAGCTAAATCCCTGGCCCTTATTTCATCATTCTTAAAATGAAAGGGTTGGTCCCCAAGTTCTTTCTTTCTTTTCTTTTCTTTCTTTCTTCCCTTCCTTTCCCTTTTCCTTCCTTCCTTCCTTCCCTCTGCTAGGGATCAAACCTAGGACCTCACACATGCTAGGCAAGCACTGTACCACCAAACCACATTTCCAGGCCCATTCTAGTTTTCAGTGTCTAAAAACATTATAGCGAAATCACTAACAAAAAAGTGATGTAATCATCTTTTTGTACTGAAGGTATATTCTTAAGGCCAGGCACTTAAATATCAAGATACAGCCAGGCGTGGACAATGGGTTAGATGAAGACCACAGTGGAGGCACATAAACTGATCCTCTGCAGTCAGTTAGGTGAGGGACGACTGGAGATCGGACCGGAGTAGGAACAAAGGAAATGGAGAGCAAAGCCGTTATGTTTAAAGGTCTCAGGGATCATTTGACACTGAGCACTCATACGATATATGATATCATATCATATGATACAGTATAAAAGCTTTAGTAGCAAAACCAAAGTTAATCTTCCTATTCCTACCCTGACCCAATTTTTTTCTTCAGTTTCGTTTAAGATTAAGACTCTGTAGTCCAGACCAATATTCTGAGATGAAATGGCTCACAAATTACTAATCACATTAAGATACATAGGGGCCAAGAGTGCCATATTTCATTACTGATCTAACCTTGTTCTTAGGTCTCTAGCTTACAATATGAGAAATGGGGAAATTTTTAACTGCCCAGGAAAAGGTATCATAATTTTTTCTTATTTAAGTAGCAGTGGTGATTGTTTCTAAAGATGCCCAGAGCAATATTTCCCATCCCTTCCCATTGCAGTGTGACCTGGGCAGTTACTCTTCAAGAGGCAGAGTAATCTCAGCACTCTGGGAGCCTGAGGCAGCAGGATTGTACATTTGAGCACAGTCTGAGCAATTTGGCAATTTAATGAGACCCTGTCACAAAAATTTAAAAATGAAGAAGGGGCTGGGGGTGTAGTTCAGTGCAAAGGACCTGGGTTTCAATCCCCAGTAGCAGAGAGGAGAGGAGAGGGGAGGGGAGAGGAGGGAGAAAGTTCCTCTTCTATTTGAATCTGGCTGGGCCCTGTGACCTGTTTTAGCCAACACAATGAGGAGGAAGTGCTACTATGTAACTTTAGGGGCAAAGTTTTAACAAATTTGTAGCTTTTGCCTCCCCTGGTTGGAGCACCCCTCTCCAAGTCAGTTACCATGTAAGAAGTGTGTTACTTTGCCACAGAAAAAAGGGTCCCACCGAAGCTTGTCTTGAAGTTCCAGCCTCAGTCAGGCTCCCATCAGAACAACCCTGACTGAGCCCCACCCAGCCAAGAGAACCACGAAAAATAAATTATTATTTTAAGCCACTAAAATTTTAAGTGGTTGTACGGCTAGTTTATTATGCTCAGAGAGTCTGTGGATCAAGAACGTGGAAAAGGCATAGTGAGGCACCAGAGGCTCCCAAATCACTGGAACTTCACCTGGGAAGACCTGGAAGCAGGAGATGACTGACACTGGGGGCTGGCGTCATCTGGAACCACTGAGTCACATGCCTGGAGGCCATGCTGGCCAAGGGCTGGGATCTCAGCAGGATACCAACACGTGGCTTCTCCATGAGGTCCCTTCTCCCACACATCCAGGATGGCTGGACTCTGTATCCCAAGAGAATAAAGTGGAAGACGTAATACCTTTTTCTGACCTTGTATCACTTCGATCTTAGTCATAGGCTTACTCTTCTTTTTTTTTTTTTGGTACCGGGATCAAGCTCCAGACCTTGCGCTTTCGAGCCGGGCAGCGGAACCACTGAGCTAAATCCCCGGCTCAGTCATAGGCTTACTCAAAGCAAGGGGAGTGAGCCGGGAGTGATGTGCATTCCTGTAATCCCAGCACTGGGGAGGCTGAGGCAGGATTACCAGGCCAGGCCAAGCTACATAGCAAGACCCTGTCTGAAAAAATAAATAGATAAATAAAAAGGCAAAACAAAGGTCCAAGTTCATCAATCAGGACAAGTTTATTAGAATAAACCTGAAAGGGAGCACACTGGCACTTAGACCCGCCCAGCGACTCTCGTACAGGCTTTGAAATCTCTCTTTTTTTGGTACCGGGAATGGAATTTAGGACCTTGCACTTGCAAAGCAGCCACTGGAACCACTGAGCTAAATCCCCAGCCCTGAGATGTCTTACAGGGTCATGAGCTTAAAGCGGGGAGGGGCAGTGGAAAGAAGAGTTCAAAATAGGACTTTGGAGGGGAAGAGTTCAGAGAAAAGAGTTGTGGCTCCCCGCTAGGGACAAGCCTTCAGAAAGCACAGGGAGTGGTGGTTGCCTGCCAAGAACAGGGCTGAAGAATGTGAGGGGAGTTATGGGGTCTGGCCATGGTCGCTGGGCCTTATTAACCCATGATTACACATCTTTAGCAGGTGTAAAAACATAGCCAGATGGAAGAGGCTTTAGGTGGCCCCTGGTCAGCCTAGAGTGGTGGCAGTCTGACTCCTTCAATAACTAAAACCAAGATACAGAGTTTAGAAGTTATTTAGTTCCTGTAGGTAAAAGCTTGGTTTTTCATGGTTCCTCTGCCCTGCGGTAGGTTGTATTTTTCTCGAGGATTGTTACAAGGTATCCCAGGCCACATGCTTTTCTTAAGTATAATGTCAAAGCACTTGCCTATAGTATCTGCTCCAGAGGCTGAGGCAGGAGGGTCACTGGAGTCCAAAAGTTCCAGGACAGCCTGAGCAACACAGCTACACACCATCACAAAACAAAAATAAAAACAAAACCATGACATTGGCACTCCTTGGAGCACTAGCCTCATCTTTACGTTTCACTGGAATATTTGGGAGTGTGGTGCAAAGGGTGTAGAAGAGAACTGCTGTTTGTTGAAGGCAGGAGGAAGAATTGCTGGTATCCCAACCCCAATCTGCAGTTCCCTCACTGCCTCACCTTGTAGCAGATGCCAGGTAAAATCCATGGAGGGCTGGGGCTCATGATCCCTTATGTGGCTTGAACCTCACAGCTGCCCACTTCAAGTACTGCAGGACAAAGTGCATTGGGTGTAGCGCTGGTTTCAAGGGACACCCCAGTGTGAAAAGGGCTGTGAGGACAATCCGAGTACATGACCAGCGTTTGGACCTTGGTCTATTACTCAACAAGTGGAATGGGATCTCAGGCTATCCCTTTACAACTTTATTTTTTCACGATAATGGTTATTTCATCAGATTATTAAAAGGACTAAACGACACTGTGAATTAGTCTGAAACAAAGCAAGTGTAAAATGTTAGTCATTATGATTAGAAAGTGCTTATTAGCAAATTAAAGACCTGGAAAGCTACTTAAAGAGAACTGCTTAACCGTTGAAGTCAGAATTTCCCTGACTGATACGTTCATAGAACGTTTATAAACAACACACCTATCACTGGGAGAGGACGGCATCAGGGAGTAGATGAGTGAACGCGTGCGCGGGGTCGCAGGTTCGGGCCACTGCTCCCTCGGGGCGGCTCAGGCCGGACGTCGAGCATTTTGTGCTCCCGGGACCAAGACCCGGACCTGCCCTTGCCGGCCCGCGCCCCGCCCTGCGCTCTGCTCCGCTTCCCTTCCCGGGAGGGCGGCCGGACTCGGTCTTCTCCTAATGCGTGCTGGGAAATGAGATGAGCCCGCCGCCTTTCGGCTCTGACTCAGGCCGCGCTTACCCCGAAGCTCCAGATCTCCGCCGGGTGGAACCTGGAGGGGGCGGGGCCGTCGCCGGTGTCAGGCGTTGGGTCTCGTTTTTTTTTTTCAGTATATGTGCTGCGGAAGGGAGGGACCACAGGTCTTCTTGTGGTTTTTTGGGTTGTTTTGTTTTAGGTCTCCTTGTTTCTGAGAGAACTCCTGGGTCGCTTTTCCTCGAGGTCTCCGGCCTCAGGCTTCCCTGCCTCCGGTTTCCGGTTAGGCCGGCCGAGTCGGTGCCCAGCTTCCGGGCGTGAGCAGCGCTGCCCTGCAGACCTCAGCCCGGCCCGGCCACCCCGTCCCGCGGGAGGGAAGTGGAAGCGGCTTAGTTGTGGCCCAGACGCGCCCGGAGCAGGAGGGGAAACCATGTGACAAATGTGAGGGAAAGGAGCGGCTCCTTTAACCGTTTGCGTGCCCCTATTTTCTTTGTGAAATGAAGAATTAGAAAACGCGCTTGTGATCTTGTCTTTACCCAGTGAGACTTCTTTACTCATATATCTTGAAGTCGTCTGCCCACTCCAGGTTGGGCTGCGCTGATATTTTCACTTAGGCCACATGCATCTCCCACATTTCTATTTAGCCTTCATGGTATGTTTCTTTATCTTAAAAACACTGTGTATTTTTGAATAGGTAATAAGTGAACATAATAAAAATAATTCAGACACCAACGAGTATGACAGTCTCCCTTTGTCCAAGGGAAGGCGTTCCAGAGTCCCCAGTGGATGCTGAAACAGGAAAGCACCGAGCCCTCTATGCAGACTGCCCTGGAGGATGACCAGTCCCAGGGTCCCTGTGGACACCAGAATCTGTGGGTGCTGGGGTCCCTTATGGTAGAATGGTGTAGCATTTGAATACAACCTACACACTTCCTATACTTATGCTATCGTCCCTGGTTACTTATAATACCGACAACAATGTAAAGACTATATAAATAATTGATACACCATATTGTTCAGGAAAAAACAAGGAAAAAGTCTGTACCTTTCCCTCAAGTATCTTCAATCTACAATTGGGCAGATTCTGTATGTTCAAAACCCAGATACACTACAGGAAGAGACCCTGTCTCAAACAAACGACGATAGAAAGAACCCAGACACACTGAGCCAACAGTACTGTTTTTCCTATATATACATAACTTATACACTTATAATAAAGTTGGCCAGGCTGGTGGTGCACGCCTGTAACCCCAGCACTTGGGAGGCTGAGGCAGGTGGATCCCCACAAGTTTGAGGCCAGCCTGGGATATATAGTGAATTCAAGGCTAGGCTGAACTAAATAGCAAGACCTTGTTTTAAAAAAACAAAAACAAGGGTGGGGGATTTAGCTCAGTGGTGCCGCCACCTGCCTCGCAAGTGAATGGTCCCGAGTTTGATCCCTGGTACCAAAAAAACCAGTAATCACATAGAACAATTATAACAGTAAACTGTAATAAAAGTGGTTAAAATTTATGAGCTGTTTAGTTCTAGAATTTTCCACATAATACTTTCAGACTGAGGTTGACTTGAGGTAAATGAAGCCCTGGAAAATGAAGCCTGGCACAAGGAGGGTGGGCACAATGAGGTGGGGGACCTACTGTGTCCAAGGAGAAAGTCTTTTTCCATCGCTATCCTGAGTTCCCCATCCCTTTCCCATAAGTAACCACCGTTAGCAGTTTCTTGTGTGACCTTCATAGACTGTCTCTGTGTATATGTGTGCATGATATTTACATGTGGACAAGTATATTTCATCTATCTTTCCTTGCTCAGGTTCCGTATACTACACACACATTTCTGCACTCTAGTCTTTTCCATTAAAAATGTATCTTGGTGGGCCAGGGATTTAGCTCAGTGGTGCTGCTGCCTGCCTCGCAAGCGCAAGGTCCCAAGTTCAATTCCTAGTACCAAAACAAACAAACAAACAAAATGTACGTTGGAGACCTTGAACAGGTTCAAGAGCAGGATGCTCTCTTTAATGCTCTTTATGCCTGGGCTTCAAAGTACTTCTAGCTTTTTGACAATATAGTCAGAGGGCCAAACTATGGGAGTTGAATAAGGAATTTTGGCTTTTGTCATGCTTTGGCTGTTTCTGAACAAAGGAAAATATTTTCCAGTCTTCTTACTAGAGTTCAGCAGGACAGTGGAGCCTGTAGCACCTGACTCAGCCTCCCAAATGAGGCTGGTCTCTTCAGCAGTATGCAGAGCCTTTGCCTGAAGTACCTGAGCTTGGGAAGAATTACTGGCCAGGGGAATGGCTTCTGTAGAAGCCAAGGCTACAGCACTTTTCTATCAGTGGCAGATTCTGAGGCCTCCCCAAGACTGTTCCTTTCAGGCCAAGTCTGTGATCCAACCACTTCCTTGTTTTTTCAGCCAGCCTCATTGATTCTACACTCATTGAACTTTCCTGGGACCTGTAGAGACAGCAGCCTCTGTGTAGGCTCCATGTGGCAGCAGAAAGAAAACAAGATGAGACCACCTTAGTCCACAGGAAATGTTAAGTTCAGGGGCAGTTGTCAAAAGACAAAATTTCAACAAGTATAGTTAAATGACCTAATTGGCTCTTATTTGTGATTCATAAATAAAGGAGCATCTCATCCAATTATTTAGAAAAGATATTCAGATGCGCTGAGTAGAGGAGCTTGGCTTCATAGAAAAAGACTAAAGAACAAAAAAGCAAGGCCAGGGATTTAGCTCAGTGGTTCCTCCACCTGCCTCATAAGCGCAAGGTCCTGAATTAGATCCCCAGTACCAAAAACAAAACAAAACAAAACAAAAGCAGATTGGACTCTTCAAAGTTATGTTCTGTATAAGGGTTAAAGCACAGGGGGTCTGGGGATTTAGCTCAGTGGTGCTGGTGCCTATCTGGCAAATGCAAGTTTCTGAGTTCGATCCCTGATACTAAAAAAAAAAAAAAAAGAAAAAGCAGAGGGGATTTCTCTATCATACTGGCTAAAACTGGTCTGTTTGGAGAGGTAGCTATTGTCTCTCTCTTGACTTTTTAGGTCAGATAAACAAGTTGGCTTTGATTTGGTGACATGTCACCCTTTAGCATGTCCGATTCCATTTTTATTTTTTCTGTTGATTCTAGTACAGGAGTTTAGTCCAAAACAGTGGCCTCCTATGAATTTCATTTTACTGTGTTTACTGAAACTTGCATTACAATCTCAATGGGAAACTGTGGCCTTGCTTCCTCTCATAAACTTTGAAAGGTCCTGGCCCAACTGTGTGGTCCATCTCTCTCTTTGTTCATATTCTCCATAAGTCCTGAAATATTCTGACTAGCAGAATGAATTTTTTTCAGAGTCCATGGAGCTCTGAGGAATGTGTCCTCTCCTCTTCCTCCCCACTCCCCCAAGTTACCAGTTTTTACTTTCTTTTTCTTTTTTTCTTTTCCCTCAGTACCAGGGATTGAACTCAGGACCTTGTGCTTCCAAGGCAGACACAGCACCACAGAGTTAAATTCCTGGGCCTTTACGAGTTTTTGCTTAGAAAGGAGCTAGTGGAATGGGCAATCTGGGAATGCTAGGGTGGTTGCTCTGAGACAAGGATGAAGGAAAGGAATTAACCACTCTGGGCTAGAGAAGAAGTGGGGCTGCCAGGGGAGCTGTAGTTATCCCTTCCCTCCTCTATTTGCTGTAGTTTTCTTTCCTCTACTATATCAACAGGAAGCCCCAGCGAAACCACATGTTCTGGTTATTTGAGTTTTTACTTTCCTATGCATTCCCTGCCCTGCCTTTGTCATTTTGTACCTTGCAGGAAAGTGCATTTTCCAGGCTCCTGTCTCATGCAAAGTGAAAGCCATAGTCCTTACTGTGTCCTCTCAGGCACTTTACCTCCCCCTAAATCGTTCTGATCCAGTTACACTGGTCTTTTGCTATTTCTGGAATTCAACAGCTTGTCCTGCCACAGGACCTTCACACTTGCAGCCCCTCAGCCTGGAAGTTTGTCTGCTAGGTACCTACCTACCACACGCCTCCTCACTTTCTTCAGGTCTTAACTTGAAAGTCACTTTCTGGGCGGCAGAGTGGGGATGAGTTGTGGGATCCTTTGGCACTCTGTTTAGAATTTTACACACACACGCCACAGAGGCCAGAGAAAGATACACATTTCACATCCTGCAGCAGCCTTAGTTTCTCTTTAGCATTTAGCACATCAGTATGCTGAAGGAAAATTCTGTTTCCTCTCCTTACATACTTCTGACACCAAGGATACGGGTTTTCCACATGGAGCAATTCTCTAGTACTCAGTGTCCTATAATATAATATATAATATAACCTTATAATAATGTATAACCTTATACTATGGTATAACCGTTTAGTGTCTTATAACATAGCTCAATTCTGACACACGGACTGAAGGGACATCCCGTTGCATAATTATACTTTTATTTTTTGAGACAGGGTCTCACTATACAGTTCAGGCTGGCCTTGAACTCACTATGTAGCCTAGACTGGCCTCAAATTTGTGGTGATTCTCCTGCCTCAGCCTCCCAAGTGGTGGGATTACAGGCATGCGGCACTATGCCCTATTTATACACGTTTTTTATCCATTCTGTTTCTCTAGAGAACCCTAGCCAATATATTTTATTTGTATATTTTTATTTCTTCTGTATCTTACTATGTTCATGTCTCTTTATACCTTCTTGAGTATGTGAAGTATATTTATAACTGTTCTTTTAAAGTATTAATCTGCTAATCTTATTATCTGTATTGTTTGTTCATCTCCTTCTATTGATTGGCAATTTTCCTAATAAAAGGTCATACTTTTCTTGTTTCAAGAAAGAAAGAGGCAGGGAGGGAGGGAAAAGAAAGGAAAAAGAAAAGAAAAATAGAAAGGAAAAAGAGAAGAAAAGAAAAATAAAAAAGGAAAGGAAAAGAAAGAAAGAAAAAAAAGAAAAAAAAGAAAAGAAGGTGAAGAAGCATGGCGAGCTCCTGCTGGCCTGAAAAAGTCTCCCTTCCTCGGGGGACCAAGTCACCCCGGGGGCCGCAGGGGGGCGCCATCGTCCGCGCTCGCCCGCGCCTGTGTGTCTGCTAGCGAACTTGGACCCAGGAGGCCTCGGAGCCCGCTGGCCAATTCCTCTCCGGATTTTCACGGAACCAGAAGAAAAATACAACCACTGTTTCCGCCCGGTTTCGAACCGGGGACCTTTCGCGTGTGAGGCGAACGTGATAACCACTACACTACGGAAACTGGTTGGTAGTAGCACCTTTGCAAACAACCCCTGAAATGTGATGGATCCTGACTGTGTCTAGGCCTCGCCAAGCACCGCCCTGGCCTCATCCAACCCCGGGAAAGAGCCAGGGAGCGCGGGATCGCGAGCGCAGCGCGGGGCGCGCACGGAGGACTTCCCGGCGCCTCCCCAGGAA